GGAGGAGGCTGCAGTTCTGCAGACTTGACTGCGGACGAGCATGGTGAGCCGAGCCGCTGGAGAAGAAACTGTCTGCGAGAATGAAGGTTGCACCGAATTAGAACCAAGCACCAAGCTCAACGCCGTAGTTGAAGACGGCTGCGCAGACGAAGAAGAAGCCTCCGTGGAGTCGGCGACAATCATGGCAATTGAATGTAGTGGGGTTAGGGTAAACCTAGGCAATTGATACCATATGAAATAATAATTATTAGGAAATAATGACTCACCCTAATAGGGTGTGCTTATGACAAACCGGGAATATTAAAATTACAAAACGTTCCTTATATAATATATTACTAAACATATGCTTTAGTTTCATCATATATAGCATCTTTTCACAATTAGATTTAGTTACACTTGATTAAATAAAATAAGATCACTAACACTTTTTCAGTTTAGCAAAGAATTCCTTGTTTATTCTTCAATTTTTGCTTGATGAGAAAAATATGATCGAGAGATTCGTCTGAATATCCTTCACCTAGGGAAATTAAAATGTTACATTATTAATTATATTGGTAAGAGTACTTTTATTTTGAAGTACTTCTATTGGGACTTCACTTGAATGTTCCATCAATGAGTGTTTGGAGGTTTGGGTTATTGTTGAGTTTAATCCAACACAAATAAGAGTTTTTTCCCGAAATAATGCTAATTAAATAAATAATTCTCAAAATAGTGCTGAGTTAAAAATAATTCCCAAAATACTGCTGGGATAACCGTGGTTAAGAAAAGCCGCCACTTGAAGTGGTGGCTCTTCTCTTACAGTACAAAAGCCGCCACTCCAAGTGGCGGCTCTTCTCTTACAGCACTTTTTATACATATATAAAACGCAGTATGTTTCAAGAATTTGTTTAACTATCTTCCCGGTAGAATTTTAAGCAGAAATTTGGTATGAATAAACTAGATTTGATGAGTAACATTCTTAAAAAATTTCATCAAAAAATTCCGCCAGAAAGACAATCTGATGGTGTTCTCCGCACGAGGGTCCGGGTCAGGACGTCATGACGGAAATGGGACATGTTTATGAAATCTGAGGTGCTTCTGAGTGGAATGTTTTGATGAAATTTGATGATCATGTTCTTCTTAAAGTGTATGTTATGTTCACTAAATTTTTAGTCAAATTATGCAATTTTTAACAATTTATTTAACTAATTTCCCGATTGAATTTTAATCTGCAATTTGGTGGACATAATCTACATTCCATTGGAACATTCTCACCAAATTTCATCAAAAAATTCGACCCAGAAACAGCTCAAATGAAAGAGGCCTAAAATTGCAACTTTTAGGCCTACATTACATGAACATTTTCAAAAGGAACGGGACAAAATTTGTGCCAAGATAATATTATAAGTTATGCAAATAAATCGTTTGGTATGTTATTTCCCGGAAGCAATATTTTATAATTTCTTATTGTTTCATATTTGTTGATAATTTGTCCATAAGTCATATGTTTTAGCTGCATGTGTTATATGTGATATGCATTTCCATTTTTACATTACTTTGAACATTTATATCAATAGTTTGTATTTTGTAGGATTTCACATGCTTCTCTAATTACACTCTGAATTTGAATTTACCGTTTCCTTCCAGACACGAGTTCAATTAAGTTGGGTGAAACTGTGATTCTGCAATTGGAACTTAGAGCAATAGCACCGGTTGCTAAAGTTGATGTGGGTGTTGAAACTGTTTCCAATGGCCATAAACTGCCTAAAGAGAGTTCATATTTATTTAGTAAGTGGAAGAGAATGAATTGTTTGTAAGGGCATAATATAATGATGGTAGTGATAGCTCGAATCTGAATTTAGTTCCTTTAATCGGGAAGTTAGTTAAATATTTTTTTGAAAATTGCACACTTGTTTAGGCCTAAAAATGCAGTTTTTCAATAAATAATTTAACTAACTTCTTGATTTAATTTTAATCTAAAATTCGTTGAACATAACCTATACTTTAGAAAGAACATGATCACTAAATGTCATTAAAAAATTCGACTCGGAAGCATCTCAAATTTCATAAAAATGTCCCACTCCCGTCATAACGTCCTTATCAGGACCCGTGCGGGCAGCACCATCAGATTGTCTTCCCGGTGGAATTTTTTGATGAAATTTATTGAGAATGTTCGTCTAGTTTATTCATACCAAATTTCGGCTTAAAATTTCATCGAGAAGATATTTAAACATATTCTTGAAACATATTGCGTTTGATATAAAAAGTGTTGTAAGAGAAGAGCCGCCACTTGGAGTGACGGCTTTTGTACTATAAGAGAAGAGCTGCCACTTCAAGTGGCGGCTTTCCTGAACCACGGTTAACCCAGCAGTATTTTGGGAATTATTCTTAACCCAACAGTATTTTGGGAATTATTTATTTAATTAGCATTATTTCGGGAAAAAGCTCCACAAATTAAATAAATATAAATATAAAGGTGTATAAACAATGAACTTTTACATGGAAACCCGAAAGGGTGGAAATCACGAGACTTTTTGGACTATTATCCAACCCACTCTCATTCTCTTAATACTCTCCTCACCGTTGTTACATAATACAAGCTCTCATTAATGGAGTATTCAAGCTATTCTAGAGAGAAAATTAAAGTAGAGTTGGAGAAAAAGAAGCATCCAAAGAGTCATCCTCAAAATGGAGGGAACTCCTATTTAAATGAGAGGGGGAGTGCATATCTACCCTAATGGGACAAACGGTGGGCTTGATGGTCCGAAGTGGGCCGAGATGAGCCTCACTTGTGGACAAATTGAAGTGTTGAAGTAATGAAGTGTTGAATGATTTGTAGGAGATTTTTAAAAAGTTAGGAACCAAAAAATGATTACAACTGAATCATTAAGGTTTCGTTCAGTTTCATATCAATTCTATAAATAAGTTTAAGAACCGAATCGATAACAAAATTGAGATTTTTTAAAATGGTTTCACATGTTTTATCTAGGAACCGAACCAGTCTGACACCTAGTTCTTTTGCAGCTTTTGCAGCTTGTAAGTAATTGCGTTTGACTAGTCACATAAACATTTGCAGTAAAATTAGAATATACTCCAATGTTAGCTATAATTTTTTGGGGAAAATCTCTAAATAGGATTGCCATATTTTTATTCTCTGAATAGAAGTTATTTATGCCAAGTTTGGGAAAAATTGACATATTTAATTAAAGTCTAGTAATGTCAAATTAACAAAAATTACTCGTATTTGGGGGAAAAAATATGATGATCCTATTTTAGAATTTCAACATGTTTTTACTCCTATTCAAGGAAATTTGTATAATTTTTTTCTCTTCATTTATTATTAACAATGTTATACTTAATAATTCTCCCTCCTCAAGCTACTATCTCATTTTGGCTAATTAGCTTTCTCAAGTAAAAAAAAAAACAGTAATGTTTCAATAATAAGTTATTAGGTTTAAATCAAATTGCAATCAAATATTCCAAACGAATCTTAGAGATGCTCTAATACTATTAAAAGTTCAGTAACGCCGCAATAATCACAAATACCTCATTACAAATGTTAAGGTCTTATTTGGCAATCGGTTGTTAGCGCTTAGCTGTTAGCTGGTTATGACCTCTGACTGAAAATAGTTGGTGCTGTCGGATGTTTTAGTTGGCTAATTGGTTGTGTTTGGGAAACCGCTGATCAGTCAAGTTTCAGCTTCTTTGACAAAACTCAGCTGGTTTGACGATCCATGGTGTAGTCCCTTAGGAAGAGAATTCTAGTGAATATATAGGAGTAGACCCGAGATTCCATCATAAAAGATTTCATCGGTTCGTCATTGTCATTTATTGAGTTTTTTTAAGATATTGAGTTTGTTTATTTTGATTTCCGGAGTTACGTACATTTGATAATATATGGAGTTAAATCTTCGTATTCGCGAGTTACATCTTCTTATGTGCAATTTATATATTAATGTGTACAAGTTGCATCTTCTTATACGGAGTATATGCGTAATTTACATTTCATTTGCGCGAGTTAGGTATTTTGATACGCGGGTTACATCTCCAAAAAATGCCAATTCTACAATTTCCCCGGCCCCAAGGTATTATATCTTTATCTTTAATGACTTTTTTCATGAATATTACTAAATTAAATTTAAAAGACAAAAATGTAACTTATTTTAAAATTTTCCTGAAAAGTGACACATTTAGTGACTAGTTCACAATGATTCGTCATCTACAGTAACTTGTCATTCTAAAATATACTACAGTGACAAGATCACAGTAACTCGTCATATACAGTGACTTGTCATTCTAAAATACACTACAATGATAACTAGTCATATTTTTTTCCCGGGGAAAATCTATTAGTAATATGCATGTCATTATTTCATCTTTAATTCTTAATTTACACAATTGGAAAATAAATATTACCATACGATATGAACCAGCCACCAGCGAATCTAATCAACGCAGTTGGACTGAGCAGAAAAATAATTATACCAGTCTTGATAGTTGAATATTAAGAGGATACACTAAATATGAAACAACATTACACTTAAAATTTTGAAAAACAATTAAGTACCGGTGAGCGTAGCTCAACTGGTAGCGAGAGAGTGCCATAAGGGTTAGGTCTCGGGTTTGAATCCCGGCAATTGCGATGAAAGGTTACTATGCTGAAAAATGCATAGGGCTTCTGCAAGTACCGGGGACAGAGCTCCACTCTCTATCTGTCAGATTGTGATTATAGTCCAATTTACATCCCCCATCGTATCGTCCGGTCGGTGTTGGGGGGCCCTCAGGGATGGGGTGTCATCCTTTTTTTTTTGAAAAAAAATTAAGTTCTCAAAGGTTTCAGCTCAGATCATGCTCTAGAACCAGTCATATGCTTTATGAAAGAGATATTTATCCTAAATATGACTAAATTATAATCAAAATTCCTAAATAGGAGTTAATGTTTAACTTTTCCTAAATAGGACTCCTTGTTACCAATTTACCCCTGCTATAATAAAATCCCACCGGCCCATCTACGATCCGCATCTTCCTTTCCGCATCAATCGCAGGTTACTCGGTTACTCCTCTCCCATGGAGATCTTCCGCACACAGCACAACTTCCTCTGGCCAGCACTTCTCCAGGTAATTCCTCCTCCTTATTTACCTGCTTCTCCTTCTCCTCTTCTTATCCTTCTTCTTCCTCTAATTTCTGCAGTTCTGCTCCTCTTTCATTTATTAGTATTTTATGTTAATTTATTTGAAAATCTTTTTTATTCTAAACAAAAATTTTATTTTTATATGAAAAGTGTGAGTTCGAAACCTTTAGGAATGAAAATACGGGGCTATTGTTCAAAGAATTTCCGACCTAAATTTTGTTATTGTTTATCTTTATCAACTTGTAAAAATTGACACATTTATGGCAATTTTTTATGGAGATGGACATGTTACAACTTCGAAAATGCCAATTTTTTGACAATTTCACAAATTATGGCATTTTTATGGGATTGAATTGAATTCATCAGCAACAATACTTCATTTTTCTTCTCCTATTTCACATTTTGGACTCTAGAATGTAAAAGTGTCATAATTTACAATCTGAAAATTACATGTTTTGGCATATAGAAATGCCACTTTTTTGTCATTAATGTTATCACGATTGCAATTTTCCCTGAAATTGATGTCATACACTCCATAGGAGGTATATGTCAGCATCTCCACAGAGGAATTTACCGGTGGCAGCACCATCTCACCGTAGGACGGGGCAAGTCACCTCACCAGAAGAGTGCAGTGGCAATCTCGACGGCGGTAGTGGCGGCGTTCTCACTTGGTTGTGGTGGCGGGCTCGACAGCATCGGCCGTGCACGGAAGGTGCTGAAGGCATATGCCGCTTGGAGTTTACGCTAAAGGCATCTACCGTTTTGAGTTGGAGCGATAGACATCGATCGACGAAGAGGGCAGCTGGGGGAAGTGTTGTATTTTTTTTATTTGAGCTGTAATTTCATTAAGGGCAATTTTGTCTAATCAGTTCATTTTTGGTCCTATAAAATATGAGAATCCTATAAGTGCATTTCAACATTGATTTAAGCAGTGTTTGGGATTGCTTAAAAAAAGCATTTTTTAGCTTTTGGCTTAAAAAGCTGAAAAGAGTGTTTTCAAATGACAACTTCTGCTTAAATTAATCACTTAAAAGCTAAAAGCTGGAAGCAGGTAGAAGGGTGCTTTAAACTGCTTCTCACTTTTTCTATTACACAAAAAGTACTTATTTTACCAAACACTACCAACTTTTACTTTTTCAGAATCACTTTTTTCTCAAACACTACCAACTTTTACTATTAATCACTTTTCCCAAAATCACTTTAAAAAATCACTTTTTTAAAGTTGAAGCAATTGCAAACACTCCCTTAGTCACATTTAGGGAATTACCTCCTTTATGAAAAGAGGCAGAGGTGGGGGGCAAACAGGGCCTGGTCAACCCTAAATTTGAAAATTGTTTATATTTTTTGGTGTAAATAAAAGTGTATGTGTAAACATTTATCTTAAAAAATCTTTGTATCGACGCACCCTTGATTATAAATACCATGCCGTAATACATAAAAAGTAGCATGCCGTATACGATAAATATACAATTTATTTCTTAAAAGCTTATAATTGTCAATGAGAGTTAGGGCATTTTAGGGATGGAAAAAATGTTGGTGTAATTATCTAGCTTAATAAGGTTGTATAATATGCTTTGAGGTGTGTACTATTTTAAAAAGGAACTTAATTTTCCGTTCATCCTTTCTGTTTTATATCCGTCTAATGCCTCCGCTCAATTGCATCTCTTAAATCACCGTCAACTCATCTCCCAGCTTCAAACCATACGGAGCTGCCTTCATGTGCAGCGGTTCTACTTTGATCGAGGTTCATCTCCTCGTAGATGCGAGCTGATTGCTCGAGCTATCACACACTCACCAGTCAATTGATACACTTTTTATTGTTCTGGTGCAATTCATTTCCTTGGCACGATGTTCTTGTACGACTTGGCTATTAAGTTCTTTGGTATTCTAATGTGGGAGGTGTAAGTGATGGGTTGTTTTCACAATGCCGTAAAGCAGTTACTGTCATTGTGTATTATTGATATTACGTTTCATTCCAATTAGGAAAATTATTAATTATTTGGTCGTCATTACAATTAGGTAATAAACTTCTTAAAAACGCTCCTATGACATTCTTAAAGCAGAAGAGACTATTTCACAGCTTTTTTATTCACAAAATTTCAGTCAAGAATTTCACATTTTAAGCTAATTGATTCCAGTTTATTAGGAGTTTAGTTTTCCATTTCTATAATCTTAACTTTCCTATAAGCTTTCTGTAGCTCACATATAGTGGATGTCACAGGCTGGTCCTAAATATATGCATTATCATACTAAATTATAAATATACTTTCTTAAAGACTGTATAGCACTTAACATTACCCTTTTATGTAGTATTTAAAACAGCTTTTCCCCAATGTATAACCGTATAAACGAAGATATTAGGGAGCATTTGAGATTGATTCTACTTTAACAAAAGTGATTTTTTTAAGTGATTTTGGAAAAAATGCTTAATAGTAAAAGTTGGTAGTGTTTGAAAAAAAAAATGCTTCTGGAAAAGTAGAGTGGTAGTGTTTAATAAAATAAGTGATTTTTGGAGGGGAAAAAGTCTGTGAGACTGTGACATATTGCTCTCTTTTGGCAGGGTTTGGTTCATACATGAATTTTTATGAATCAAACATAATTCCTTTTGACCAAGAAGACTAATTCCAGGCTGTATTTTATTATCTTGCCAAGTTGAAACCAACGTTAGGTACTAATTTATTAGCAGTAGACTTATCTTATAATTCTGTTTATCATAGAATGATATTTTGTGGAGAATCTGCAAAGTAGCGTAATAATAAAGTTAAGATGCTTTTGAAAATGCTTTCATACATTTTTGTTAAGCATTCAGTCAAGTTTCTTTGCTTTATGCATTTTTTTTCTCCAAATAGTTTAACCGGCATATAAGTTGGTCAAAACTTCTTTTTGTTTCCTTTAAAATTAGGATGTGTTCTTAGTGCAGATTTCTCGAGCCTCTTTTCCTATTGATAGGGGAACTTCAGAATATCAATTTTGCAAGGTTGGGGGAAGCTCAAAGCTTCTTCCATAGCAGTTATATAGCTCCCAATTTATGAGTATTCATGTGAGCTTAATATTATAGTGTTGTAGTATTTGTTCTAATTTCATTTTGACAGGCTATAACATCATTAGGATCAAAGAGATGTATTTTAAACAGCTTTTCCCCAATGTATAACTGTATAAACATGAAAGATATTAGTTAGACTTTAAAGGGCAAGGGTTATGCCCATATGATTACCGTTTCAGAATATGCAAATGATGATTTTTCCAGGATCGCTAATTTGCTATATAGATAAATCTTTGTTTTTGTTATGGACAAAATGTTTTATTGTTGTTCGGTTGAAACCAAGCTTAGCTATTGTTATATTCAGCATTAGTTTTCATTTCTGATTCCGTCTATTACAATAACTACATGTTTCACTTTTTCATACAATGAGTCAGTTTATATATCCATGGCAATTAGTCTGATTCTTTTAAAACAAAATTGCAAGCTATTGCTCTCTTTTGGCGGGGTTAGGTTCCAGACTTGGAATTCAAATTGTTCTTAGTGTAGATCTCTCAAGCCTCTTTTCCTATTGATAGGCTGGGGAACTTCAGAATTTCAATTCTGCAAGATTGGGAGAAGCTCAAAGTTTCTTCCATAGTAGTATATATAGTTCCTAATTTATGAGTATTCATGTGAGATAAGTATTATAGTGTTTTAGTATTTGTTGTAATTTCATTTTTGACAGACTATAACATCACCAGGATCAAAGAGATGTATTTGTGGCAGATTTAACGTTAAGTTTAAGAACTACAATTTTATGACCAATCAAAGTTGTCACCAACTCGAATGTGAGTCTCCTTTAGTGCATTAACATTGCAGATTACATAGTGGCATAGTGCATACATTGCTTCAGTCTTGACTCTCGAAACATTCCGCCAGTTTATCCAATTTGTGCTTAAGTAAATATCAGAGGTTAGAGCTTTGTTCTCTTCACTTGAATTACAATAATGTTTTTCTGTGAAAATTGAATAGATCAGAAGGTACACCATATAGTTGTTCCAATGGGTCATGGCTTAACTTAGCCATGTTCCTTCTTTACTTCCCTGATTACAGAGTATATCTATAGGATATTTGAATAAAATAATAGAAATAATTTAAAAAGTCACAGGTTGATAATTTTCAATCTTTTAACTTGGTCCTAAATTGATGACTTTTAGTTGCTTTTGATCTATTTTAATGAGTTGTGACTACTATTATGAAGAAGATATGTTTATTAATTATCTTTTAACTTCCAAGTTTGTCTCTTTTAGAATAATTGAGAAGTCATTTATAATACTACGCTAAGTACAAGAAACATAATACAGTTATAAATTGAACTAGATATACATAGTTCATTATGCACCATGTGAGTTCAAATTAGAGTCAAGAACATAAATTTGCTGGCTGCACTTTTGGAATTTATTAGTAATATACTCCTTATATTGTTTCTTCTTATAGATTTTAGTGAGCACTCCTTATAAAAATTGGAAGAATATATCGGAGGAGATTTTGAGCACTCACGTATCTGATTTTTTAACTTTCATGTATGTTTCCAATTTTCTCTTATATCTAGGTAACCTCCACAAAATTGGAAACCCCACACGATATCTTTTTAGCATTTAGCCCCTGTTGTATTTTAATCCACGAAAACAATCTATCTTGCCTTGAATATTTGTCACAAAATAAGTTCATTTTAAGAATCACACTTCTATCTTGTCACGAAAAATAAAAGTTTTCACTTCTGTCTACTCTTAAATATGACGTTGTAACACACTTAATAGGCTTATGATGTACTACTTCCGTCCCTTAAAAATTGGCCGAGTTTGACCGCCACGAGAATTAATAAAGTGAAAATTGTGTGGTTAAGGTGTCTGCAAAGGAGAGAGAATTAACTGGAACCACAAATTCTTTACTTAAAAGGGAAAGTGACAAAGTTAATGGGACACACCCAAAAAGGGAAAGTTGGCAAAGCTTTAAGGGACGGAGGGAGTATTATACAAATGAACGTCTATACAGAAACTGAAATTGGGCATTGTCCCCTCACGCATCGCGCGTTCAAATAACTAGTATATCTATAAAACTCAACCCAATGAAGTAGCATGATGCGCTTAAACCTAATTAGAACAACTAATCGTGGCCATTGAGAAAGATAGGGTAAAGAGGGAAAGACGCCCCCAGCAAGAAAAATGTGGCGATCTTGAAGCAGTTGAATAAATTTCACTTTTTGTCTTATGAGTATCACACTAATTCCATAATTGGTTCATATCTTTGACTTTGATCATTTTTGGTATATGACTATTGTATTTTCGCCCACATATGGTCCTTCCGGCAATTATTCCGCTGGTTAAAATCGTCGGAAAAGGACAACAACTGGTTAAAAAACATTAGTCAAATACCAAAGGTGGACAATGTGAAAGACGTGGACAGTGGACTAAATGTGAAAATGACATAAAATTCGTAAGACCAAAAATAGAATTAATTCCGAAACAGTGCATGAAAAACGTGCATCGGATGCGCCATTACATCCTCCTTTTCTTCCCATCTGCCTATCACTCTAACGTGCATAAAAGCTTCAATTTAACCAGCGAAAAGGAGCAGATCATTTGACATTCTATCCGGCCCCGAAATGGTTATAATACAACCTTTTCACAATATCAAGCCTTTCTGGTTCGATAAAGGCAGGTCATAGATGTATACTAGCTATCTTTTTGTACTTTGGGCGGATACATCATATATCATCAATTAAAATACTTCATCTTTCACTAATTATATATTTTTAAGATAAATTGTTTAAAATATAAAAATTATATGAAAATGTTATTTACGGAGTATTATACTACCTCCGTCCCGAAAAAGGTTCGTCATATTGACTTTGCTTATCATATTTTTGTATAATTTATAAATTTTAT